GAAAATAGTTTTTAAGCAGCTCAGGAGTATCTTTCAAGTGTTGTATTCAAATTTCCAGAAAAAGGTATACTAATGTTGCAGGAGGCCATATGAATATGATATCACAGTGCTTTGGAAAGTGGGTATCTGGCTTAAGTATGAAAACTGTGCCGTGGATGTGTTTGGCAATTTATTACAATAAGATTGTGTGCACTTACCTGGTGTGATAGTTGAAATTGTATTCACAGCTTTGTGGATGTGAAATCAAGCGGCAGGCATCTTAATGTGATGTGACAGTAACATAGAGCTAATCCAGAACCATTTTATTAAATTCTTGCAGTGAATCATTATAACTTTTCTGAGACCCAGACGAACAGCTATATGCTTAGTGCATGGGATGTTTGTTCTAGGGCATGCCTGAAATGCAAGACAAACTGACTTTCTAGAAGTTCGTAGTGAATGAATGCTTTTTGTCTTAAATTGTTCTGGAAGAACTCTTGTTTCCAAAACAGCGTGTTTATTTCTTAGCAGTTCAAATACAGACGAGGTAAATTCAGAGGTTCTCGCCCTGCCCCCGCCCCCTCTTCCCCCCCAACATCCACTCATAAATCTGTTGTTCAGAAACATGGGGAAATTGTGCTTGAAAGTGTGCTAAGAAAGAAACATGAAAGTTGATGGAATCTCTTCTGCCCTTCTGACTTAACATAAGTAAGTCCCAGGCTGAAAATGAGAACTACAGAGGTAAAATTTTTCTGAATGTTTTATAGTTTTTGTCTGTTGATCTTAGGGGTCAGTTTCACAGATGAGTTTGTAGTGGCTATCTCTGGTTTACACTTAAAAGAAAAAAAAAAAAACCCACAAATGTTTCACAAATTTAGCATGACTTTGGTTCTATCATTCTGCATTTCTTCAGATGAGAAAATAACTTGTGTGAAGCAAGGATTCACCTTTTTTTTTTTTCGGATGGAAATGAATCCTGCTATTCTTGTCTATCCTTGGATTTCTTTAAATAACCAACTGTAGTCCATCCTCACAGTTGAATATGCAAGATCTGTTTCCAAATGAAATTTAGATACCAGAAACATGTAGTTTCCTGGTAACTTCTGTAATTTATCATTGGCATACAGTCCACCTTACTTTCCATCTCCTTCCTTCCTTCATTTTGGCTGCTGTATGCCGAGCAATCGTTACAGTGGGATGCAGACAGCAGGGGACAGGCTGGTTGAATCGCCGCTGTTGGTGGCGTAGCGCCATAAGAGTGGTTTTGGAGATGAAGTGTAGTGTATTCAGTAGGGAATTTGTTTTGGGTTGGGAGAACCTGATACCAAGCATGGTGTTTCTGGGTCAGAATTGTACCGATCCTGTTGTTCCTGTCTAATCAAGGGTAGGAACACAATGAGGGACATCTCAAGCGTGCGTTGGAGTGCAAATACACTTTGCACCGTTATGGCTACCACAGGCCATCTGCACTGTTCCTAATCCAGTCTTTCCTGTGCTTTCCCCTTCAGTGTACCCAGTTTGATATTGCCGATTACCAAAAATTGTTCATCTTAACTTAAGACTTGTCTTCTGGGGCAGCAGCAGGAGGGTGGAGAAAACCACACATAATTCTCCATATGGGAAATTATGTAAAGTGGAATTAAGAACTCCCTATTGCCAGGAAAATACGTGCTCAAGATGATTCTCTGGTATGTCAAGGAGCAAGCTCTTTTTGTGACAAAATATATTAGGTCAGTTTTTCAGTATGGATGTAGAAATACTAAATTGGAAATCAGTAGAAAGTAAATTTGGTGGTTGAAAGCATTGAATGTAAGATTCTTCTGGGCTTCTTAAATTTATTTTTTAAAATCATAATTATATGTTTTTAGGAATTAACAGTTATGGTTCCCTGTGATAGCAGACTTTGGGCCAAATGATGCTTCATATTTTTAAGCCCTTTTGATGTGATACTGACTTCTTGAATATATATGTATATGTATTTTTGTATATGTGTGCATATATATGTATCTGATTATAAACAGCTATACACCTTAGATTTTTTCCTTGAATATTTTTCAAAAATTTTCCTATTTATTCATCTTTACTGCAGTGATTCGTTATATTCTGTTTGTGTACTGTGCTGAAATTTTCTAATGGAAACAGTTGTTAAAAATGGTCTCTTTCCTTTAACTGCTCTGTACAGGTCATGTTATCACTTCTGCATACCTGACTTCAGAGAATCTTTAATCTCTTTCTGTGATAATCTTTGTTTTAGTCTTACCTTCACCTCTGTCCCTGTTTTCTCAGAGTTTGGTCCTTTGTAGAAGAATAGCTGTTTTGCTGTGGAGCACTTTGACTTACATGTGGGGGGAAAAAAAAAAATCAAGTTGTTACTTCTTTTCTGAGACCTCATATGGAATATTGTGTCCAGTTCTGGGCCCCTCAGTTCCAGAAGGACAGGGAACTGCTGGAAAGAGTCCAGCGCAGAGCCACAAAGATGGTTAAGGGGGTGGAACATCTCATTCATGATGAAAGGCTGAGGGAGCTGGGTCTCTTTAGCTCGGAGGAGACTGAGGGGTGATATCATTGATGTTTATAAGTACGTAATGGGCGAGTGTCAGGAGGATGGAGCCGGGCTCTTCTCGGTGATGGCCCGTGACAGGACAAGGGGCAACAGGTGCAAGCTGCAGCACAGGAGGTTCCACATCAACATAAGGAAAAACTTTTTCACTGTGAGGGTGGCAGAGCACTGGAACAGGCTGCCCAGAGACGTGGAGTTTCCTTCTCTGGAGACATTCAAAACCCACCTGGACACGTTCCTGGGTGACCTGCTCTGGGTGGTCCTGCTCTGGCAAGGGGGTTGGACGAGATGATCTTTCAAGGTCCCTTCCAACCCCTAACATTCTGTGATTCTTTTAATTAATTTGAAGTTCTAGTAAGATCTTAAACTGATATGCATTTCCCATTACTTGCTATGTGGTTTGTTTTTGGTTTTGTTTTCTCCTTTTCTGGGTTTACTGAAGTGAACATAAAGAAAACAAAATTATCACATGATATTCTGTCAGGGTCAGTTTCCAGTTAGATTTCAGACTCCTTGCTCAGTGCTGTCACAAATCACACTTACTGTTTCCAGTATTACTGGATCAAATTACTTACGGATGAGATACAGTAACATCAGTAAACAAACAAAAACCATCTGATTATGCATGGGGCAAAAGGGTCTTTTGGTTAGGTTCCAGTTACTGATTTTTTTGATAATGCAAGCAAGTACCAATGTTTCTTTTAAATAAAGGGGAATGGTTTTAGGGGTATAAGACTTCCTGTGGGTATTTTTGAAAGTCATGTGAGTTATTTCTGTGGTATCTGAGCTGTACAATGTTTGAGAGCTGTAGAACTGTTTGACATGAATGAGGTGTTGGTTGTTCTGAGCTGGGCGAAGCTGTCTTCCAATTAATACAGCGTTCCAACTATAGAACTTAGTTTTGTTTTTTCATGCTGCTCACCAGTCTTGAAAGGCTTGCACAATGGGAAAAATTGTAGTGAGAAGTGTGCAAGTTTTGAAATATACTGTTAAGTCTTTAGGGTCTCATATGCTTGTAAAATCTAAGGTGAATATCTTGTTGTCATGTGAGCCCCAAATGTCACCTTTTTTTTTTGTGTTTCCCGAATATGCAGCCTTAATCGCTTCAGTTTATTTGAGTTTATTCTGTTCTTCAGATGCTTATGTGGATGATGTAGTAATGCCAAACTGATTGAATAATCCATTGTTGAGAGGTGATCGCTGCATGGGCTTTACATGTGCCCATGGTGATGTTCTGAATGATGAGTCATTTAACCTTAAATATGTACCTTCAGCAGTGAGATAGACAGCTGTTATTGATGGAATTTGAAAATCTTGAGATTGGTTATTGGGGCAGCTACCAGAATGTTCTTGCTTTGCTATTAGCTATGTTTTTCTGCATGCTTTAGGAATGCAACTAGGTTAATGACATATTTATGCAATGTTTACTAGGTAGTACAAAATTTTGAAAGCCGAGTACTAGCTGAGAATCCATCTATAAAATCTTAGTAATCTTAAGACATAGATATACATATCAGTTCATGTGATTTGCTGGGATATTGAAATCAAAACTATCTTAGGCTTTCAAGTGTTGAATAAAAATATTTATGTCTTGGTAACCTTTTTATTAGACTTGGAGATTCAAAGTTAGAACAGCTTATGTGTTATATGTTCTTTTTATAAGCTGTTGCATATTGTTAGCAGAACTTTTACAGTAATGTTACTGTGGTCTTTAGAGGTGTATAATAAGTTAGAAGAGAATTGATTATGATGGATAAAATAATTTTCTGACTTAAAAACAACTTTTAGGTGGCATTGTTTCTCCTCCTCTTCCCTGTTATTGCATCTGCCTTTAGATTAAGAGGTTGTTTTAGCCATAGTATCTTTTATGATTTATGAGGTCTTTAACATCTTTGGAAACTCTATTTTTATACTTTGGTTTTTATTCTATTTCAGATTCACTGGAAAGAGAATGAAATAAACATGGAGTCTTCTAAACTGGAATATATTTCATGGGTCACAGTTAAAAATAAAAAGAAGATGGAACGAAATGAGAGAACAGGAATATAACACCTGTCAAAAACTTTCCATTTTTGTGATATATATAAACTTGAGATGTAATACAACTAATGATTTATAGTAATACTTTATCCCTGGAAGAAGCAGTTACGGTGCAACTTGCTTAAGAACTTTTATTCTAATGACTTTTAACATGTTTTAACCTTAATTGGACACTTTTTTTTTAAAGTCAGAGTTAAAAACTTTATATAGCTGTATTTTAACTGGGAGACTGATGCTGATAGATGGCTGGCACCTGCTCGTGGAAAATGGACTTGAACCGATGGATGGTTGCTACTGCACGGAGTTGAATGGGATGCCATGACTTTAGACCAATTCTTTTAGGAACTAATTCTTTGCCTTGCATCCGTTATATCCTTAAATATTTAAGCGTAAATATTGCAATTATAAAGTCTAAAAAATAATGGCATGGGTGAAATTCTTAAGAAAACCTGGGGGTAACCTTGGAAAAGTTTATCAGCCTGGAAGTATACTGTCCTTGGCCCCAACAAAAGGCTTATTAAATGAACCAGGACAAAACAGCTGCTTCCTTAATAGTGCTGTTCAGGTAAGAAAAAACTTGATTTATTAAACAGTTCTGGTTTTGTAGCAGCTTAGA